TTTGTATCTAAATTTAAAATTCAACCATTTTCCTCAATTTTTCTTTACTTTCATAATAAAAATGTATTATTGGAATAGTTTAAATTTTTTTATTTTAAGTTGAAAATAGGCTTTATTCTATTTGGTTCGATGATTAAAGGTCAAATTGAAAATGAAAACATTTTTGTAAGCAAAATAAATATTTTGCATGAAATAAAAAAAAACAAATATTTATAAAGTTGATAAATATTTCTCCCTTGAAATATTAAAGTAGTAGAAGACAATGTAAATACAATAATTAAACCTTAAGATTGAAACTTTATAATAGCGTAAGAATCTTGGCCTGAAAGTAGTTTCAAAGTTTTAACTTTTAATTTAACTTTCCTCCGGACTATTTCAAAAATAATAAGAAGCAGTTTTTTTAAACATAATTAAAATACGACATTTGTAATGAAAATAAAAAAATAATTGAAAGTCGCTTGATATCGCTTACAAAAAATCTTGGATTATATTTGATGACAGGTTTGTTATGTATGCCAACATGATTGACGAGGTGAAGTAAATAAACTCAATCCTTGTTTACTTATTCTAGTCAGTACAGTCAGGTTTAGAGTTTATTCAGGTTTAGATTTTAATCAGGTTTAGAGTTTGTTCAGGTTTAGAGATCATTAAGGTTTAGAGTTTATTCAGGTTTAGAGTTAATCAGGTTTAGAGTTTGTTCAGGTTTAGAGATCATTCAGGTTTAGAGTTTAATCAGGTTTATAGTTCACTCAGGTTAGAGTTTGTTCAGGTTTAGAGATCATTAAGGTTTAGAGTTTATTCAGGTTTAGAGTTAATCAGGTTTAGAGTTTGTTCAGGTTTAGAGATCATTCAGGTTTAGAGTTTAATCAGGTTTATAGTTCACTCAGGTTTAGAGTTCATTAAGGTTTAGAGTTTATTCAGGTTCAGAGATCATTCAGGTTTAGAGTTCATTCAGGTTCAGAGTTTATTCAGGTTTATAGTTTATTCAGGTTTAGAGATCATTCAGGTTTAGAGATCATTCAGGTTTAGTGATGTTCAGAGTTTGTTCAGGTTTAGAGTTTGTTCAGGTTTAGAGATCATTCAGGTTTAGAGTTTAATCAGGTTTAGAGTTCTTTCAGGTTTAGAGTTCATTCAGGTTTAGAGTTTAATCAGGTTTAGAGTTTTTTCAGGTTTAGAGATCATTCAGGTTTAGAGTTCATTTAGGTTTAGAGATCATTCAGGTTTAGAGTTCATTCAGGTTTAGAGATCATTCAGGTTTAGAGATCATTCAGGTTTAGAGTTAAATCAGGTTTAGAGTTTATTAAGGTTTAGAGATCATTCAGGTTTAGAGATCATTCAGGTTTAGAGTTCATTCAGGTTTAGAGTTTATTCAGGTTTAGAGTTTATTTAGGTTTAGAGATCATTCAGGTTTAGAGTTCATTCAGGTTTAGAGATGATCTAGGAGGAGAGTTGATCTAAGTTTAGAGTTGATCTAGGTTTTGAGTTTATCAAGGTTTTGAAATGATCTAGGATAAGAGTTGATCAAGTTTTAACACTTTTAAGTCGATCTTGGTTTAAGTTGATCTAGGTTTAGAGCTGATCTTGGTTTAAGTTGATCTAGGTTTAGAGTTGATCTTGGTTTTGAGTTGATCTTGGTTTAGAGTTGATCTAGGTTTAGAGGTGATATAGATTTAAAGCTGATCTTGATTTAAGTTGATCTTGGTTTAGAGTTGATCTAGGTTTAGAGTTGATCTAGGTTTTAAGTTGATCTTGGTTTAGAGTTGATCTAGGTTTAGAGTTGATCTAGGTTTTAAGTTGATCTTGGTTTAGAGTTGATCTAGGTTTAGAGTTGATCTAGGTTTCAAGTTGATCTTGGTTTAGAGTTGATCTAGGTTTAGAGTTGATCTAGGTTTCAAGTTGATCTTGGTTTAGAGTTGATCTAGGTTTAGAGTTGATCTAGGTTTCAAGTTGATCTTGGTTTAGAGTTGATCTAGGTTTAGAGTTGATCTAGGTTTCAAGTTGATCTTGGTTTAGAGTTGATCTAGGTTTAGAGTTGATCTAGGTTTCAAGTTGATCTTGGTTTAGAGTTGATCTAGGTTTAGAGTTGATCTAGGTTTCAAGTTGATCTTGGTTTAGAGTTGATCTAGGTTTAGAGTTGATCTAGGTTTAGAATTGATCTAGGTTTAGAGTTGATAAAGGTTTAGAGCTGATCTTGGTTTAAGTTGATCTTGGTTTAGAGTTGATCTAGGTTTAGAGTTGATCTAGGTTTTAAGTTGATCTTGGTTTAGAGTTGATCTAGGTTTAGAGTTGATCTTGGTTTAAAGTTGATCTAGGTTTAGAGTTGATCTTGGTTTAGAGTTGATCTAGGTTTAGAGTTGATCTATGTTTAGAGTTGATTTAGGTTTTAAGTTGATCTTGGTTTAGAGTTGATCTAGGTTTAGAGTTGATCTAGGTTTAGAATTGATCTAGGTTTTAAGTTGATCTTGGTTTAGAGTTGATCTAGGTTTAGAGTTGATATTAAAATCTTTAAAATTTACTGAATAAAAAGATTAATTCAGATATAATGTTGGGGGAGGAAGTGTGGAGGAATATGTCACTTAGAATTATTATTTTCACTTTAAAGTTAAAAAGTTTCGATTTACAAACATTAAATATACACAACACATTGTTTAATTAACTTTGCATCTTTTTAATATAATTTGAAAACTATTGGCATGTTTTATTTTGTTTACAGGGTGACTTATATGCTTCTATAGCATGAGAATTTAGAAACAACCCCCAGGGAATCTTGATTTAAGGATTCTTGAGGACGAATTTAAAAATTTGAGCCGCAGCTAAAATTTGAGACGCGGCTCAAATGTAGTTGGTTCCACTTAAAATTGTATTCAATGTTTCAAGATTTTAGCCGGCGCTCAATTGAAACCGGTTTTTGACGGCGGCTCCAATTCATTAAATTCGGACTCTGAAAGATCAATTTGCTTTATACCTTTAATAAAATGTATGAAGAGAGGAGCCGAGTTCAACCTTCTAAATCATTATTTTTAAATAGTTGGAAATCGTCATTTAAGTCTTGCGCTTTTTGGGTAACCCTTTAATCCTAATTCAATATACTAGCTGAAGTGCCCGGCGTTGCCCGTGGGAAAAAAATAATTTAGAAGTTTTTTTGGGGAAAATAAACATTTGAATTTTTTAGCCTATGTCATCTCCAGGCTACCCATGAGTGTCCCATTAAAGGCTCCACAAAAAAATTCAGCCCACTCGGTCCAGCTGTTTGGCCGGCCAGAGGGAACATGTATACGAATATCTCGTTTTATTATATAGATTACTTTGCTTACCTGTTTGTTTGTTTTATTGGATCCGTTAAACGTCATAACGGCTAATATTGGTCCCAACTTTTTTGTGGGACCTCACATGACCCCAGGGAAGGTTTATGGTTGCTCAGACTTACAAAATTGTCTTCAAAACTTTTTTATTTTCGTAAAATTTTGAAAATCCACGAAAAAATATGATAGAATCCGCGAACTATTTTGTTTGTTATTGTTTTTGTTTTGTAGAAAGAAGATGCTCACATAAAGAACAAAGTTGAAAAAGTCAAGAAATAGTCAAAAGTAAAATTCTTGTCAGATCAATAAAAGTGATTTTACCATTGAGTCAGGTTAGAAGACCTTGAAGCTGAACTGGAGGAGGAGAATAAGGATAATAAAGAAGATGAAGGAGCAGATTTTTAAATTCATCTGAAAATTATCTGAGTTCACACCTTTTGTCTTGTTAATGTTAATCCCTAGCTCGCAACCCATATGCATGAATGAAATTGAGTGATGAAGCAATTATCCTTTAAATTCAAAAGTTTCCGAATTGGATATCGAGATCAAGTTTTTTTGAGCAAAAAGTTCTAACCTTATATGGAAAATCCGGGACCAAATCTAAAAAGAAAAAGTGCAAAGACATTTTATTAAAATATACGTAGAGTATTTCAGTGAAACGAAAAGGAAACATGCATAATTCATCTTTAAATAACCTGGCTCCGATCTTTATGAATTTGAGCCGCGTCTCAAATCCACCCAAAACCGGTTTCAATTGAGAGTCGGATTAAATATTGAAGCAATGAATACAATTTTAAGTGGAACCAACCATATTTGAGCCGCGTCTCAAATTTCAGCCGCGGCTCAAATTCTATAAATTCGGCCTCTGATTATAAAGGTAATTTTATGAAAAGTAAAAATAATTCGATCACTGTCCAAAATAATGACTAAGAATGAGACAAAATAAAGCATCAATGCGGTTCAATACCTTGTCACAATTCCTGGTACAGTCCCTGTTCAGAGAGTCCTCAGCGGAAAAGTTTAGAATTGTGGATATCGAGATCAATGCTTAATCTTCACTTTTTGTTAATTTCCAGATCAATGTAATCTTAAGCTTGCTGTATGAACAAAAATGTAAATAATTTTGAGAAAACACTAAATCAGAGAAACCATGAAATTTTAAATTTTGCGCGCCATTTACTGAGTGAACTTGTATTAGTCTGAAACTGGGATGGAGAAAAAAAGAATGAAAAAAGCGGATTAAGAAGGAAAAAATAAATTGTTCACATTGGATATTCAGATTAAGCGATCAAGATTACCCATTTAATTCTAAAGTTTTCAGGTCAGAGCTGAAAATGTTAGAATGAGATATCCTTAATCCCAATTATTTAATCTGAGCATCCAATTCACACACATTTGATTTTCTTCCTAAACCGTTCTTTCTTGGATATATAGTAGAGAAAAATAAAAAACCGGTTTTTCTAAATTAGAAAGTCCCTCCCGTTTCTGTATATAATCTTAAATGGCGCGCAAAATTTCATTTTTTTGGCTTTATATACGCGACTCTGATTGGTTTAATTTATACACTTTTCAGGTTACAAGTACAAGATTAGGTTAGTCTCGATATTAAGAAAAAGAGAGGATCAAGAATTAATCTCGATATCCACCATTCTAAAGTTCAGATCATGCATACGTCCTTTCACAGGCAATATTAGTTGAATTTATTTTAATTGACTATATATATATCAAAATCTGCGACCTAGGGGTTGGATCCAGCAAGAAGAGATCTAATATCAATAAGAAAATTGTTCCCGGGGTTTACTCAGGTAGGATCAAGGTTGTATAATAAATCTGGTTACTTTCTATGGGCTCCAATCGTCTCCTATAGATAGATAGAAAAAAAACCTCATATGACGTCTCTGATTAAAGAAGCGAGAGTGATGTCATATTAAGTTGTTATCAATCTATCTTAGGATTCGACATTTTCTGTAGATTGCAGCGCATCGAGACTTATTATACAACCTTGGGTAAGACAGTTAGTATTTCAACTTGAAATTAATAATATCAGGAGGTTTGGTATGTCTTCTTACACTTTTAATACTTATCTAAACAAATCCAGGCTGTGTACTAAATAAAAGGAAATTGATCAAGTTATAAACTTGTCTCCATGCTGGTAAATCATTCATGAATGTATTATATAGAAACCATGATTGAAACTCGATAATGTTCAGGGAGAAAACAAGGAATCAAGCAAATAGCTCTCAAAATTTAGTGTCACATGAAAATGCCACGACAAGATTTAGGGGTTTTTCGTTCACAATAATCCTGGAGGCAGAAGCCCAAAAGGAGTTACGCGTAGTTTAATTACAAGACAGAGAGAGAGCATGCGCGTAACTCCTTTGGGCCTTTACCTCAGGGTTTTTGAGATCGAAGAAATTCTAAATCTTGAAAAGAAAACATCTAGTATTTTATCTGTATTGCTATTAATGTATGATTGTATCTTTCAGGTTGCGTTAAGTCTATGGCAGAAGCTAAAGCATTTAGTAAGAAATTTCTTTTTATTACATAATTCCGTTAATTTCCATTTGTATCCGACTTGGGGGTTTAAAATGTTTGATCCTACTTAGTCCTACAAGAGGGGCCAAAGACTGAGGTTTGGTTGGTGTTGCTATGCCTCCCTTTCTCCAGAAATTTCTTAAGAAATTGTTGACAAAGGAATTGAGTTTTTAATCCCTATATCTCTTTAACCATAGATAAATGTATCTCCTATCTAGGATTGAAACCCTAGATAAATGTATCTCCTATCTAGGATTGGAACCATAGAGAATAGAATATATAGAGAGGAATTAAAAGAATCTCTCGGTATGAATGTTTTCAGTCCCTTTCAGCCTGAAAGGGAGTTCAAAGTGTACAAATCATGTAAATGTTCACAAATTATATGCAGTAGAGTACATTAATACAGTATGTTCCCTAGACTATCCATTTCAATTTCGAATTTTTTAAACTGTTAAATAAACTTTATANCTATTCATGTACTAGAAGTGGTGAACTGTAGTATTGTACCTTTCATGTACTAGAAGTGCTGAACTGTAGTATTGTACTATTCATGTACTAGAAGTGTTGAACTGTAGCATTGTACTATTCATGTACTAGAAGTGTTGAACTGTTCCCGGCCTATGCTAGATATATGGAACGGAAGACATGTGCTTGCTGAATTGTACACAAGGAAACTTCATGATATAGGTTTGTACTGTGTAGTTTATGCATTGTACTTTTTACTTTCTAGTGAACTGTGTACTTTGTGCTGTGTAAATATAACTGTGTATTGTTTAAAGTTGTAAACTGTTTTCTCTGTACTCATGAAAAAATAATTATTTACGTGTACTGAGTTCACAGTATTGTTTGTGAACAATTTTACTCAAAGAATTTATTAAGAATTAAGTTTTCAGTATTTCATTAATGTGTGTTTTATCGCAGGATAGATTTCTTCGAATAATATTCAAATATTTGATGTGTGCCGAAGTAAGTATTTGTCCAAATATGAGAGAAGTGTTTTAAATTAAAATTTTTATTAACTATTATTTAAAGATATTTAAAGTACAGTGAGAACGAGAATACTCTGGAATAGAAAGACGACTTTTAGACTCAAGATATGATTTAGATAGGAAAATGAACAGGAGAGACAACTATTGTGAAGTGTAAACAACCCCAGTTGACTTAATAAGTAATTAATCAAGTTACTTGTAAAATGATCATTTTTAATACCGACGTTCCAATTGAAATACTATAAAAACAGGAGTTTACGTTGTCTCATTCTTAAAAAAATATATATTTTACAACATTATGCAGAGTTTCGGAAACTTGAACGCCGTGGACTAGGAGGAGAGGGAGGTAAAGTATCAGAAATTTAAAAGCAAAAATTGTTAAAAATTTTCAAATATAACTATCTGAATAAATTTTTTTTTTACAAATAGTTTAATTTATACTTTTGCCGCCTTTTAGCCAACACTACCGACCTATGATTCCCCAACAGAGGGAGGTTAAGTTACTTAACGTTCCTTGGGACAGTTAGGTAAAATAACCACCCGCTCTGCTTTCGTAAAAAAGTTCAAGCATTTTCATCTTAAAAGACTATAAATTTTACTTAACCCCGAGTTTTCTCGACTACAAAACTTCCCTGTAAACGAATTAGTTTGAGATTAAAAATTCAACTTTAACTATAGTTCTATGTAAAAAGTTTTAGATCTTTACAAAAGTTTCTCATCTTTTTGGTTAATTATGTTTGGATGTACTTTTGAGGTTTCTATTAATTGTGAGATTTGAAAAAAAAACCGATTGTTACGTTAAGAGATTGTTAATTTAATTTCCTCCAACTGCCAACAGTTACAACCTTTGCATGGTCAATGATGAATGAGATATCCTTGTTCTTCCAGCTGAATCATTAATTGACGGATTTACATTTTACAATTGACAGAATAACACATTGTTCAAGGTGAAAAAACAACTTTATGATTCTGATTGTTAGAAGGATAAATGCTTAAAGTATTTGTACCGTTGTGAGATGTTATTTAGGTAATTTCCCATAGGGTTTTCCTCAAAAGGAAACTTCCTTAGTCTATCCGCCGTAATTGGTCCCCCCCAGCCTGTTCTAAAGATACACGGGTAAATATCCTCTCAAAATTATTTATTTCTTAATTTTTATCAGAGTTGCAAGTAAAAAAAAGAAATACTTTTTTTTGATAGTATATTCACCCCTGTAGCTTTCCCGAGTTGGTGTTTTTGGATTCTTGCTCATTCTGCAGTCACAGCTCAGGGGTAAACATACTCTCTCTCAAAAAAAAATTTCTTATTTTTTATTTGCCCATGGCTCCTATGGAAAGATAAGAAATATTTTTTTTGAGAGAGTATTTTTACCCCTGTGTCTCCGGAACGGGTCGTTTATAACTTTTTTTTTTGGATTCTTGAGCATGCGCACGACGAAATTATAAACAACCCAGTCTGGAGATAGTAAAATATGTTTACCCCTGTTTTTTTTATTTGGCGAAGGCTCTGATGTAAAAATAAGAAATATTTTCAGAAAAGGTCGTTTATAACTCTGTTGTGCGCATGCGCAAGAATCCAAAAACACCAACCTGTTCAGGAGATACAGGGGTAAATATACTCCCAAAAAAATATTTCTTATTTTTACATCGTAGCCTTCGCCAAATAAAAAAAACAGGGGAAAATATATTTTACTATCTCCAGTGCGGGTCGTTTATAACTACTCATCCCCTTTAAGTTGCTACATTTTACTCCACTAATTAAGTAAGGATGCATATAATTTTACAGTCCCTTTATGTTGCTATATTTTATTCCGCTTATTAAGTAAGGATGCATATAATTATACAATCCCTTTATGTTGCTATATTTTACTCCACTAATTAAGTAAGGATGCATATGATTTTACAGTCCCTTTATGTTGCTATATTTTACTCCGCTAATTAAGTAAGCATGCATATAATTTTACAATCCCTTTATGTTGCTATATTTTACTCCGCTTATTAAGTAAGGATGCATATAATTATACAATCCCTTTATGTTGCTATATCTTACTCCGCTAATTAAGTAAGCATGCATATAATTTTACAGTCCCTTTATGTTGCTATATTTTACTCCGCTAATTAAGTAAGGATGCATATAATTAAGTAAGGATGCATATAATTAAGTAAGAATGCATATAAGTTGAATTGAGTTGAAAACCAAGTTTGCATGACACGGACACCTTCAGTTAAATACAAATTAATTTATAACTTCGGTCAAGTATAAAAGCAAACCAATAAATAACGGTTTATTTAGAAGAATCTCACGTATTGTACACAATGAAAATGTTTCAGGATCCCCCGGGTTCATTTTTAAACATTTAAAAATTCTTTAAATTTTTATCAGGCTCTATAATAACAAAAGAAATTGATCATTTGCCTTTAAAACTAAGTATTTGTCTCAAATTTTAAACAGGATGTAATTCTTTGATATTTTAATTTTTTATTTTGTTTCTGTTAAAAAGTTAAAAACGAAAAAGGAAATTTGTTGTTTTAATATCTTTGGTTTATAGTGATTAATTATTGGTTTTAGTATTTTATTTTAATATTTAAATTTGTATATATAAACCATTATACATAGTTTATGCAGTTTATAATTTAGATGTTGAAGGAGAGAGACACCAAGTAAAACTTCAACGCCTGAGTTATAAAACAAGAAACAAGGAATATTTTATAAATTAATCATTCAAATATTTAAATTTTAAATCATTTTATTCCTTAGAGAGGTTTCATTTGAAATTGGCTAGAAATTACATTTTTTATAAAAAAAAATTTAAATGAACAAAATGTCATAAATTAAAAAAAAATATTTTAAAGGGACTTTAGGCGTAATTTCGAGTGACCCGCCATACAAATATGACAATGATCGGTTACAAACCGGTTCTCTTGAAATATTTATATGATATTGTAGTTTTTCTAGGGTTAAATTATTTTGATAATTAATTCTTACATTTCTTCCTGCAGTTTTTAAGGGTACCGTTGTGAATAGGCTATTGCCATCTTTGCACAGGGGTCAATAGAAATAAAAAAATATTTAAAAAAAAACAAAAAACAGTCCCCTTATGGTAAACTTAAACAGTGTATGATAACCCAAAGAATTTGAGAAAGGAATTGAACCTTTGCCCAAACTCAAATTTACTGATTCCTATACCTTTGCAACATGATGGTACATAAACCTCTGCTATTTTAAACTTAGATAATTTGATCTATAACAGAATTGATAGTTTAAAATATTTAAGGTTTACAATATTGGATTGCAAAGATATAAGGATAAGAAATCTAGAACTTTCTTAATCATGATTTTTACCCGATTTACAATGATACCCTTGAAACATTAATCTGATAAAAAATGTGGAGGATAACGTCGTTTTTCTGCCTTGGAAAGTGTTTATTTCCGTTGCTTTTTATAAGCAAAAAATACGCAAGTCACTTTCGCAGTTTTTAGAAACAAAAACATTGATATCTAATTAATACTTGATCAGACAAAGTGTTAAGGGTACCGTTGTAAATCTGGCATTGTCATATTTGTATGCAGGGTCTCCTGAAATTACGCTTACAGTCCCTTTAAAAAAACGTTAACAGTCCCTTTATTGATATACTCCGACATTATCTAAATATTGTAAAGGAGGTTGGTGGAAGCCTGAGCAATGAGCTCCGCGAGGTGGGGGAAGCCTATCAATTATTTGTCAATAAATACAAAGAAAAGTGGAAAGAACCATTTCTTGGTAAAGGAACTGAACAATCAAACTATTATTTTGTAATCACAATATTTTTACAATCTCACTGCACCAAGACATAGTAGATTCCACGTAAGAGTGAAGCATTATATGTTTTCAATAATTAATAACTTCTCATATTGGAGGAGGGCAGGCAGGCCAGCCACAACAATTTCTAGTCCGAGCCACATTCTCCTCAATTTCTCGTCGGAGCCACAACTAAATCCTTGTCCTTCCATATTATTTCTTTAAAGTGTCTAATCCTCCAAGATAAACTTATTATTTTAAAGGGAGTGACCGGCTCTGTAATGTAGTTGAACTGAGTATGTAGTGTTGTGGAAAACTTCTTTCGGATTCATTTGAGACATATTAACTTTTTTAAAGATCTGTAAATCCCGAGTTTGAGCAAAAATTGACGTTCAAAACTCCTACTTTGGGGGTGGATACGTTTTCAGAATTTATTTTTTTTTTAATTATTAAATAACGACGACATAAAATGTAAAAAAGTTCTACAATAAATTACAGACGTCATGAATAGGAACATGTTGAGAAAATAAAAATTAATCTTATCATCGAAAATAAGTAATCTTGTTCAATTATTAGTTTCTAATATCTCATTATTCTGGTTTTGAAAACGTATCCACCCCCAAAGTAGGAGTTTTGAACGTCGAATTTGCGCTCAAACTCAGGATTTACAGATCTTTAAAAAGATTAATATGTCTCAAATGAATCCGAAAGAAGCTTTCCACAACACCATGCATACTCAGTTCAACTACCTTACATAGCTGGTCACTCCCTTTAAGAATTGGGCCACGTTTGGGTAAAAATAAAATATTGAATTTGTGTAAATCGAAAATAACTATTTATCACACTGTTATTTTGATTCGCAGTGTTTTAAAGTTTTTGGACAGAAATTTTCCCTATCGAGAAGGTTCAAGTCTTTTAGATTTAACTTCGTCCTGAGCTTTAGCGAGGGACAAAATATAATCTAAAAAGGCGAGAACCTTTAAGATATAGAGAAATTTAAGTCCAAAAACTGTATAGCACGTCGTGCTATAATAATAGTGTTATAGGTAATTTTATGAAACGAAATTAGAGTATTTAGTCTTTACTAAATATGCATCATATTTATTTAAAGCTTACAAAAAGTGCCATATGCATACTTGATAGAATTCTCTAAAATTATCTAAACTGTCCATTATTAACTACCTAAAAACTACCTAGTTTATTTTAGAAGTTTTGTTACATTTTTCAACGTCGTTATTAAATAGTTTTAAAAAATGTCAATCTGGTTAACAAAACGGTTATGGGCTGTTTTAGATTTTTTACCTCCTAAAAACATTTATAAAACAAACTAGAGGCGGGGCGTCAACAAGTTCCCCCCCCCCTCAGTCTGTTTAGGGTTAAAGTACGTTGATATTCCGGATGTCTCAGAAAAATAAATACGTGTTTACTGATTAAGCATCAATATTAATAAATTCTAAATGCAAGACTGAAATTGATTAATTTGTTTTAAATGCCAATGTGGCTTGAAAACCAATGCCTGGGAATCGGAAGTGATGGCTTAAAAACTCAAGCTGCATACATAATATATTTATTTGTATTTCTGGAGTTACCAAAAATGAAATATCAGGAGGTTCTCCCTCAAATAATTTTACAATCCCT